GAAAGGACTCTCAGTCAGTCTGGTCAATCACTGACAGACTCAATGAGACCTTCTCAGAAAATAAGGTAGAAAGCAATGGAGAGAACACTCAGCATTGGCCACTGCCCTCCACATGCCCACACAGAAAAGTGCATAAACACACTCACAGAACATCAAAGAAAGACAACTCTCCAGTTGCTTAGATGAGTATGTTTGAGTAAGCTCCATAGAAAAGTAGTCAGACAAACCAAAGACAAAGAAAAAGTGACCGAATCATGGTGAGTGCATATCAAGTCAAGCTACAGGTAGCAAAGCCTATCCCAAACAATCCCTTACTGTGGATGGTACTGTCTAGAAGCCTGGGCACATGACATCAGAGGACGTAAAGTACCTCCTGAGCTTGCAGAATAGAACACACGTGCTTCTAAAAGGGCAGTGAAGAGAGGACAGCAAAGCAGGACCTGGTGTTCATGGCTGAGAGCTGGATCCACAAGAAACAGGAATTAAAAGCCCAGCAGCATCTGCTGTGATCTGAAGTGGGTGACAACAGCCAGGCTAGGCATGGACACTATGCTGCCTGCTTTATGAGAAGTGAGGCCATGCCTACCTCAGAGCAGTCACCACTGAGCCAACTCCACCACTGTCCTCACCCACTGTGATGTAAGAATCTAACCCCAGGCATCAAGAGCCACTAGAGACTTCTGATTTGCTTTTAGTAGCCTGCATTGAAAAACAAAACAACTTCAAAGAACCTTTAGCAAAGTACATGAAATGAGTTACAAACAGAAAATATTGTGACCAAGAGGTAGCCTTCATCAGACTCTTAGAACTTATTCTGATACTTCATTACAACTTTTCCCTCTGAAACGAATATATTAATAAACTCTGAGAATTTGCATTCCCTATACATTCAACTCTAGAGACCCTATCCATTCTATACCAAAACTTTCAAAAAACAATATACTCTACAGGATGAAGATATACCCAGACATAAAGATAACCAGGTTATACTTTGTTAAAACATGTGATAATTATTTTTCTGTAAGTAAATGTTTATCAGATATAACTAAATGGTTTAGAACAATAGGACAGTTGTAAACTTTACATATGAGCAGTGGCATTCTGTCCCATTCATCTGGGTTCCTATCTCTTCAGTGACACCATATTTCTTTAATGGCAGGAGTATTGTGGCTAATGTTTGCTAAGCAGACCCCATCTCACTACTCACTTTCAAAAATGAGTAAGGATCTGTCTGGTGTGATCAGTTCACAATTCAAAGAAGTTTGATTTTACAAAGAAAAGGATTGGAGAACAATTAGCTCAATACAGAACAGTGGCTCCCTGTGCCAGAAGGAAAAGCTGATGTCAGCAGCAAGGTCCACATAGGGCCTCAAGTGTCATGACAACAGTCTATCTCTTAAATTTTGTCCTTACTCCCTGATAATTATCTAATTGTTGTCTAAAGCCTGGACCCACAGCATGCACAGAAAAGATTCTAACAGCTCACCATTAAAATTTTAAATCCAAGTTTTACAGTCATCCCTCTATAGTCATTTTTCCAAAAAGACTTCCTCATCCATCTACCTCCTTACCTACACACCTATCACCACCTAACTATCCATCTGTGTTGCTGCAACTAGAATCTATGGTCTTATATTAGACAGGAGCTCTACCTACCACTGAGCCATATCCTAACCCCTCCAAATGTATTTCAGAACCAATTCTGCAAGTTTTACAATTCCCATTGCAATCAATTTATGGATGAAACTGGTACATACACATGATTGTTACACAAAGATAGGATACTAGAAACGGCCCTACGAAATGACCAAGCTCAGGCTCTGTGTTATGTCCTATTTAACTGTATCCTTCTCCTGCTACAGTAATCTAGATACTGAATACGTACTAACTAGTCTAGACACCCATGACTAACTGCCCCATGTTTCTCCCTTGGCACTCCAGAAAAACATCTGAGTGTCTCAGAGCCCTCTCAGTGTGTACTGTGTATAAGGACCTGCTCAGCAAGCTCTGGGCCTCACTGCTTAGATGCAGGAATTTTGTCTATTCAGGGATGACGTTTCATCCCTGAATTCTGTTACTATTTGTTAATGAAAGACCAAACAAGTTAACCTTGACTTTGTGACCCCATAGTGTTCCGCTGAGGCTGTCTCATTAGTGCCAGGCCAGGTTTCTCATGTCTCACTGAGGACAAATGGAGCGTAGAACAACCTAAATTCTAGGGACATGATGATAAAACATTTCATCCTTGATAGGGACAAAGAGTTTTTTTAAAAAAATAGGGATAAAGTTCTGTCATCCTGAACTGCAATGACATAGCTTCAATTTACTAAATATACCACAGGGTACCAAGAGAGTTTCTCAAAAACTGTAAAGGACATTACAGACATTACCATCCTGAACTGCAATGACATAGCTTCAATTTACTAAATATACCACAGGGTACCAAGAGAGTTTCTCAAAAACTGTAAAGGACGATCCATTTGTACTTTTAAAAGACATTACAAGACTCTGGTGGCAACAGCGCCCTCTCCTGACTCTTAGTGGAAGCCCATGAAGAGGGAGGAAATGCACGGAATCTACATGCAAAGTCCTCTAACTGTGTAAAGCCAAACATGGAGAAGAATGAGGATGCATGCACGAGGCAAATTATTCAATTTCACATTTCCTTTCACTGGCTTCAACTCTTGCAGGCTGCAACAACCACGTTATTACCGATGGGGTTTATTTACCCTGTGTGGAGCTAGACTGAATGTTACTGCAGCACATCACCACATTAGACCTTACTAGGACCACTGCTGGGAAACCACAGACACTTCCCCCCATGCACATAGACCTTACTAGGACCACTGCTGGGAAACCACAGACACTTCCCCCCATGTACAAAGACTCTGGTGGCAACAGCGCCCTCTCCTGACTCTTAGTGGAAGCCCATGAAGAGGGAGGAAATGCACGGAATCTACATGCAAAGTCCTCTAACTGTGTAAAGCCAAACATGGAGAAGAATGAGGATGCATGCACGAGGCAAATTATTCAATTTCACATTTCCTTTCACTGGCTTCAACTCTTGCAGGCTGCAACAACCACGTTATTACCGATGGGGTTTATTTACCCTGTGTGGAGCTAGACTGAATGTTACTGCAGCACATCACCACATTAGACCTTACTAGGACCACTGCTGGGAAACCACAGACACTTCCCCCCATGCACACTCTGTCTCTCTATCTGGCTGGCTGGCTGACTGGCTGTCTGTCTCTAGCCACCTCTCCATCTC